AAAGGTCCTATGAAGTGTGTTTGTACCAAATTGGGAGAGAAACTTCTGGGCTTTTTGCCTTTTTAAGCAGACAAAGAATAATTTAGTCACTCCATCAACAGGGGGCACATTCCTACACTGCCCCATTCCCAATCCCCCTGTATCTCCAGCAAGGAATCCCCAGCTGGGCTCTGTATCCTCAAATTCCTTACTCTGGCCCCAGTATCTGTCACTGGAGTAACCAGCCGAGGGTCTGCTCTTCCAGAGTGGCTGAAATCTTTTTGCATCTCTCCCAAGTCAGCCTGTGTTTCCATGGATCCTTCCTGGCTCCAGGGCAGCCATTGCAACCAAGGGCTGGTGTTTGTGTGTCTGGAGATCCAAAGCTGCCCTGCTTCCCTCCTTGGATGTGGAGCAGGGGCAGGATGGGCCCAGCAGTGTCAGACAGAGTTGGTGCTGGGGCTCCCTTGGTTTAAGCCTCATGACACTCCCTCCCTCCTGAACTGGCTTGGGCTGAAGTCCCAGACTGCTGGAGGTGACAACCTTCAGAGAGACCTGCCTGTGTTTCCCCACCTTGTCAGCCATGACTACACTGCTTTGGGGTGGGGCAAATCCCTGGGGGATCTTCCTGAAGAGTTGGTGAACCTTAGGAAAAGCTGGGAAACTCTTCTTGAGAAGGAGGATTTAGTTTCACAAGGATGTTCAAGACACTGAAGAATTGTTGGAATCAGGGAGAGCACACCTACAATGGAGGCACAGGTGGGGCAGGTGCCATCCTGTGTGTCCTCCGCTGAAAACATCTTGGAGGACAAAAGGCAAAAAGTGAAACTGGGAATTGTCTCCATCTCCAAAGGAGAGGGATGGCCCAGCACAGAGCTCCAATGCCTGAAAAAGATCAAGGCCAGGATTTTACAGCACTTCCCAGAAAGCCCCCACGGAGCAGAGGGACTGCAGCTCAAACCCACCTGTCACAATTCCAGCAGGAACAGGAGCATGGCACAGGCGGAGAAACTGATGGGGAGACCCAGAAAGGCATTGCTATGGCCAGCAACGGTTCTCCAGCCAGATATCCCAGCCAAACCAGTACAAAAGGACTGAGACCCCTGCTCCTGCCCTGTCTCCCCTCCTCTCCCCACACCACAGCTACTGAGGGAGTCTGGGAACTGGAGGGCTCTGGGAGATTTGGAAGGGAAATGTAAATATGGGGAGAACAGACTCCTCCCGGTGATCCACCACAACACCTCCCTGTGGTCACAGCCTGGGGAGAATGGCCAGGCCAGAAACTGCTTTGCAACCTGAGTAAGGAAAAAATCCCACTGAAAGGATGACAGGAAAATCAGAAATTTTCCAAGTTGCTCACAGTCCTGCTCAGGGAGAGGAAGGGACACAGTCCAGGATGGATCAGCTGTACCTCAGACTCCCCCTGGTCACTTCTCTAATTCATCTCTCCGTCAGACACCAAACTGGGAACATTTCCATGTTCCAATGAGTGGCTGACCCAGGAGCACGTCTGTGCAGAGCCCATGAACCCAGAGCTGGGATCATCCAGAATGGCACTGTTTGTGTCCAGGGCCTGGAAATGTCCCTGGGTGCTGCAGCCTCAGGCAGCGCTGCCCAGAGCCAGAGGAAGATGAAGGTGGCTGTGCTCAGTGTGGCCCTGCTCTTCTCCATCCTGCTGTGCCTCCCAGCACAGAGCAAGGTGAGCCTCCAAGGCCACAGGGTGTGCTCAGGGCTGGGGGCTCTTCCCAACCCAGGGGCTCCCCGGGCTCCCCAGCCCTGGGTGCTGCTGCTTCCTCCTCGCCACGATTGCCTCTGCCCTTCCCGTTCCTGCAGTTCAACTCCTGCTGCCAGAGCCCGGCTTCCCCACAGGATGTTCAGGCCCAGCTCCTCCCTGGGAGGGTCCTGGTGCTTTCCTGTCCTGCTCACCACAAATCCCATCCTTTTGGGCCTCCCCATCCCATCCCATCCCATACCATGCCATGCCATGCCATGCCATGCCATCCCATCCTCTTGGTCCCCTTGGGCATCTCCTCATCATCTCCTGTTTGCCCCCCAAGGACAAAGGCCAATCCCAAACTAGGCTGAAGTGGGACCAAGAGGCCCAAACTAACTAAAGCACAGACTAGGCTGAACATGGCCAAACAGGGCTGAACTGGTCCAGTTCCCAGCCAGGCACAAAGTGGGAATGCCCACCCCCCTGAAGATTCCCAGGGTCTTCTTCCAGTCTTTCCCCTCAGTCCATTGCCTTTCACCCTGCAGTGGTGTCCCCAGATCCCCAGGCAGCCCCTGCTCAGAACAGAGCACGGCCACGGGCCGGGTGGGGCTGGGGACACCTGTGTCCCCCCAGCCCCACAAGGGCCAATCCTGACCAACCTTTTGCTCTCCTTCCCCAGGCCATCATGGAGGGCAGTGGTGTTATATGTGCTGGGGTAAGTCCTGGAGCTGGCTGCACCAGTGTGGCACTGGGGGGCAGTTTGGTCACCACCGGCCTTTACTGGGACTGGGGACACCCCAGTGACTGGTGACATCTCGTGGTCTCTCCACAGCAAATTGGTGGCATTGGTGACGGCAAGGTGGGTACCCTGAGATCTTCTGCTGGGCCCAGACCCTCCCCTCTCGTGGCCACGACCCTCCAGGGCACCCCAGTGCACCCCAGTGCATGCCAGTGCACCCAGAGCTTCCCAAGGCTGCACTTCCCAGGGTCCCCCTGTATTCCCACCCATCCCAGGGCACCCCAGACAACCCCAAAGAGCATCATGCCCTGTCCATTTCCTGTCCCCTTTCCTTCCAGTCCTTTCTCTTTCTCATTCTCCATGACTGTGGTGTCCCCAAATCCCCTCCTTGACCGCCACTCCCAAAGCCCCTCCCAAACCCATCCATTTTGGGGACACTGCCCCAGCTTTCTGCTGCCCCAACCACTCCACTTCAGCCCCCATGGTGCCTCCCCATTGCAATTCCTGCCTTCCCACCCACATTCCCCAATTCCCATCCCTTCAACACCCCCAGCCCCATCCCTTGGGGTCCCCAACTCCCCCCAGGTCAATGTCTTTGAGGCCCCCCCATCCCAGTCCATCCCCTCCACATTCCCCTCGCTCTCCTGTCTCCATCCCCACCGTGCCCCCTGCAGGAACAGGGATCAGGTGAAACTGGCCCCAGAGGGACAGCGGGGAGCAGAAGGGATTTTCTCCCTCAGGCCAGGGCCAGCCATGGGGACTGGGGACCCCTGGGACCCCCTAAGCCCCACAAGAGCCAATCCAGACTAAACCTTTGCTCTCCTTCTGCAGTCAGGCATTGTAGGAGGTGGAGATGGGTGCATTAAGTCCTGGAATTGGGGCAGCCATGTGGGAACTGGGGGTCACTTGGTGTCCCCATGCCTTGCTGGGACTGGGGACACCCCAGTGACCAGTGACATCTCCCCATCTCTCTCCAGAAACCAAAAGGCTTTTCACGGGTGAAGAGGTCTGAGGTGGGTACCTGGAGTTCTGCTGAGCTCAGAGCTTCCTCTGTCCTGGTCATGACACTGATGAAACCCCCAATCACTTGGGTTTAAAATTTTAAAAGTTTAATAGTAATAAAAATGGTTATAAAAATAGCAATATAATTAGAGTAATAAAAATTTGGACAATTAGGATGAGGACAATATCAGACAATAAAAACAAAGAGTTATGGACAGTCCGGGTACCTCCTTCTGGGCAAAATAAGCCAGAAAAAGCACACACATTAACCGATGATTAACCCTTAAAAGCAATAATAGCCTGTTGTTCACACACCTCATACATGACTCATAAATTCCATTCAAACAAAGGATTCTGTCTGGCCAGTGTCAACTTATTCCTCCAAATCCTAACATCTTCAGGGCTGAGAAAGGCGGGAAGAAGTGAGTTTCTTCTGATAAGAGAGTAATAAATTATTTTTCTCTGAAAGATTTAGGTGTCCTGTGGCTGCTGTCTCGGTGCGAGTCCTCTCTTCAAAAAAAAGCATCTTAAAAAGCATAGTTTCTATTTTAACATTATGTTATAACCTAAAACTATATTTAACACACTGCTTGAGAAAATTAATACAGCATAACTGTCTAACATAACACATATAATATTCATTTTAATATTTGCAAAAAGCCAATCATAAAATACGCCTTTTTCACACAACCAATCTCGGGCCTGAATGTCTCTCACCACCATGTCCCCCAGTGTCCTTGTGGTGCCCCTCACCCCCCTTTGCCCCCAAGCGTGACCCCTTAATGCCCCAAATGTCCCTCCCAACCTGCCGGAGAACCAGATACTACCCTGGGTAAACATGTGGCTGAAGGGCTCCATCCATCCTCTGTTCCCACCATGTCCCTCCCCACGATGACCTCCCAATCTCTCCCCATGGGGATCCCCCAGTTGTTGCATCCCAAGACATGGAAGGGGATGCTGAGGCAGGGATGCCTTGGTAAGGAATATGTTAGGAATATGAAAATGTTAGGAATATAGTTGGTAATTCGTAGAAATAAATGGTGTATGAAAATATATGTGTATAAAATAAACCGGGGGTGGGTGGGGGGAGAATTCCTTTTCCTCAGGATGAAAAAAAAACCCTAAGCAGGATGGAATCACGAAACCACGCAGCTGGGCACCACCACATTTGCATCCGAAGAGAACTCCAGCTGCACCCAGGACCAGGTGCTGATGGCCCAGACAAGATGCCTATCTGAGGAGACCAGAACCATCAACACCTTGAATCTGAATGCCAGATTCAGGGAACCAGGGAAGTGCATCATTCTATTCCCGGACGGAGGCTTTGTGCAGCCCAAGCCAGAGAACGAAACCAACATGAATGTGAAGAACTCCGAAAGAAACAAAGACTTTCTGCCGCGGGCGAAATAAACTGTATAAGAACTGCTACCTCGAAGCAGTTGGTGTGGACGGGGAGGTCAAAGTACCAAGGGGGTGCTTTCCTCACGTTCACCCGTATCACTGACCGGGGGTGATACGCTGTCCGTTTGGGTGGTGGCTGTCGGAACTGTATTATGGTCCCGCAATAAATTTTATTTTTCATATTTTTATTAAAATTGGCTATTTTTCATTTTTCATTTATAACAGTAAGAAACACCCCTTTAAGTCAGGGCAACACTAGAAGATGTTCTCCAACAGTTCCTTGTGCCTTTATGTTAATGTTCCCAGTTACATCATGGCTTTTCTCCTCACCAGTTCTAGAATGTCCCCTGCTCCTGCTTCCCCAACTCAACCTGGTTTCTTACTGCTCCTCCCCTGGATCCCAGTTGGTTGCTACACTTTATCCCTGCCTCTGTACTGCCCCTGTTCCTTCAACCCATTGGCCCTCAGTGTTGATGCTCTGCCTCCCTCACCCTGTTTATAACCCTCCTTTGCTCTTGGTTCTTTGTCCTTGGTTGCCTTCAGTGTGCTGTCAATAAACTCCCCTGGAATACCACACAAAGAACCCCTCCCATCTGCTTTTCTTTTCTGTCCAACATGTGCTGCGAGCGCCTGGAGCGCTGAGCTGTCCCCTTCTCCACGAGGACAATCTCGGGAAGGCGGTGGCTTCAGCAGCTCCTGCCCCACTGCCAGACACAAGGTCCAGATGTCCCCCACAGCCTGTCAGAGAACCAATCACTGGCCTGGATGTGAACATCAACCTGCCCAAAAAACAGCCTGCCCGCCTGATGGGCAGGACCCCTGGATTGCGGGGTGCAGGTGAGGAACCCCGGAGACTGGGGGTGCAGGAACCCCAGTTTGGGGGTAAATGGGTGGGGGGACCCTTGAATTGGTGGTAGGCATGACAACCCCAGTTTTGGGGGTGTGGAATGGGGGGAACGTGAGGTTTGGAGGAATGGGGTGTTTTGGTGAAGGGGGTCAATTTTGGAGAAAGTGATGGCTGGGGGTACCCCATATTTGGAGGGTGGTGGGGAAGCACCAACACTTGAAGGGGGTACCAATTTTGGGACAAACTCCTGGATTGGGGTGTTCTGGACACGGACTGATGGTGGAGGACCCCTGGACTGGGGGGGATGCAAAAGGGAGGTCCCAGTTTGGGGGGTAACCCCTGAACTGGGAAGGGGGGAGTCGTAGGTGGGGGAAGCCCAACTTTGGGGTCAGTGGACACCCTTGAATTGGGGGAATCTAGGGAGCAGATGCCAATTTGTGGGGATCCATGCTGGGGGACCCTAATTTTAAGTCAATGACTGGGGGCAGCCCTCCATTTTACCCCAGCCCATATTGGTCTGAGGGATTGGGCGTCGATCTGGGGTTCCCCCTGACCCTCCTCTTCCCCAGATGATTTTGGGGGTGCACCGGGCCAGGGGCTTCACCTGCTGGTTGGAGGTCGAGTGCTCGAGTGCGGAGGAGGCACTGGCGGCTGCGGGGGCTGGGGCTGACATCATCATGCTGGACAACCTGGCCCCACAGGTGAGCCCCAAAATCAGAGGGGGACCAGCAGTGGTGAGACTGGACCCCAAAAATGGGGGCTTGAATTGTAAAAATGGGAGATAGACCGGGGGAAAATCGGGGAAACCCCTGGAAAGTGGGGAGTAACCACACAGATCCAGGCTATGTGCAGCCCCCCAGATGAGACCCCAAAATCAAGGGTGTGACAAAAATGGGGGACTTTAAGGCATAAGGCTGAATCAGTAAACTGGAGGCAATCTGCTGTAAAATGTGAAGCAGCCTCAAAGATAAGGGGGAGAACACAATCTTTGGGGGTCAAAGTGTTGGAAAACTCCAGTTTTGGGTGTTTGTGTTTTTGTTTTTTTTTTTTTTTTTTTCTTTTTGTGAGGGGACCACTGTTTTGGGCAACGGTGGGTAGGAAATGCATGGATTGGAGGGTTTGAGTGGAGGAACTACAATTTTGGGGTGTTCTGGATTGAGAGTTATCCAATTTTAGGTATTTACTGAGGGTTTGCACCCTGGATTAGACGGCGCTAGAGGGAGAGAACTTTGTAATTTTGTTGGCCAGTGGGTTGGAGAGCTGGAATTTGGCGTTGTTCTAGATGCTCAGACCATAATTCTGGGGGTCACTGGGTCGTGGGGAGCCCCCACGAGCAGATTTCACGTTTCTGGTTTAGGGGACTCCCAATTTTGTGGTCTTAAGTGTTGATTTGGAGGACTAGGGCGAGAACACCCCAACGCTGGAGGTCAGAGGGTGGAGCAGCCCCTGAAATGGTGATTTTGTTTGTGGGGGGGTTTCCAATTGGACAGATTTGGGCTGTGACACACCCCAATTTCGGGGGGTGTCCAGTGTACACCCAACTTTTGGGGAAGGGTGGAAGGTGTCTCCCAGGAGCTGCACACAGCAGAGGCCATCAGGGGGACTGTTTTGGGGACACTCCCCCAGTTTTTGGGGCCTCACATCGTGGTGGTGTCCACTGGGGTCTGACCCACAGTGCCCCTGCCCTGGACTTTGCACTGCAGACGCTGGAACCCTCAAATCCATCCAGGACCCCTCAACCCACCACAAAACCCACCCTGAGATCCTAAAATATGTCCTGGGGATCCCCAAAATCTACCCTCAAACCCCAGCCCCGGTGAGGGGGACCAGGAAACGCTGCTGTGTCCTCCCAGTCACCACGGGGCACCAACGCCCAGGGGACCCCAGATCTGCCTCCTGGGGTCTCCAGGGTTCTCCCGTCACATGCTCCATTTGGGAAGGACCCTCCCAAAACCGCCCCTCCCCCACTGAGCAGGAACCCCAAGCTGGGTCCTTCCAGCCGCCAGGGGGCACCAACACCCAAGTTGCCAAAATCCAGCCCAAAAACCCCAAAGCTCGACCTGGGCTCCCTCCGACCCCCTCGCCCACTTAAGGGAGATCCCAAAGCCCACTCTGGGGTCCCCCCCATGGCCCTTTTGTCTCTGTATCCCCAAATAAGCTCCTCTCCTACACCTCCCCCAGTTTTATCCGGGTGTGACCCCCAAACCCCACCACTGAGTGCAAAACCAGCCACTTTACAACCAACAAAACGTGGGGCCATGATCATCAACCCACTGACTCCCTACTCCAAACCAGTGCCAGTCCTGCTGGTCAGACTGGGTTCAGCCTTTTGCAGACAGCTCCAGCTCCTCCCTGAGAAACTGGTATGAAAAATAAAAAATCCCTCAGTTTGGGGTGGAAACTGGCAGCCAGGGAATGAACCCTCAGGCACAAGAGTTCAAGGGTCCCAACCCCTAGGAGGAGGATCCCAAACTCCAGACTGAGAGGCTCAAACCCCAGGTGAGGGGGGCTGAGATCTGAGTTTGAGGATCTCAAACCATGGGATGTCATGAGAGTGTCCAGGACAGGGCAGGGAACACATCAGGTCTCCCAGCCCATGCCTGGGAAAGGCAGAGCTGAAATTCCAGTGCCAGGTACTGAAAGCCAAAGAGAAGCAGATGGTGGGGGACTGGGAGGTGCTGGAGGAGGCCTGGCAGAAGCTGGGGCTGGAGCAGAAGGAGCCATGTGGCTCATCTGGCAGCAAGAGGAGGAGATTCCAAGTCTGGCCAAGGACCATGAAGCACCTGCACTACAATTCCCAGCTGTGCCAGGCTTGGAGCAGAGCTGGGGCTCCACATCCCTTCCAAATCCTAATCCTGTCCCAGGAGGGCGACAAGGGGAGCCCTAAGGAGCAGCACTGGCCCTGAGCACCCTCCCAGTCGCAATTCCACAGTGCTGATCCCATGGGATGGCCACTGTCAGATCCCATGGAGCAGGATCCATAAAAAAGCAGCTCCACCTGCTTCCTTCGCCCCCTGCACCTGAAGTGCTGGTGCCAGGGCCCAGCTTCCTCACGGAATGTCCAAGCTGTTTCCTCCCTGGAAGGGTTCTGCTGGTCTCTTGTACCATCATCCCTTTCCCAAGACCCCTCCCAGCTTTCTGGGCACAGCCACACAAGCTCCCATTCCCCATTTCTCGCTGGGGGCACCTTCCCCAAGTAGGTTCTGCTTTCCTTACATCCCCAGCACAAGCCAGGGCACCCCAGAACCCCTGAGGGTGTAGGTGGATCCCAAGGCACCTCAAGGTGTGGGTGGAGCACACATGAAGCACAAACACCCAAAATTAAGTGCGGCCGACTGCAAGGGAAAACTTGCCAGGGGTGCAGGGTGGATCCAAGAGCTCTCAGAATCACTGGGATTTGAGCCATCCCACAGCTTGTCCCTGGAGCAAGAGCAACCCCCAGTTCTGCCCCAGGGACCAGCTGGCAGCTCCCCAGGAATGGGTGACACCCTGCGCTGTGCATTGCCAGCTCTCCAGGAGTGGGTGACACCCCGTGCTGGGCATTCCCAGCTCCCCAGGAGTGGGTGACAACCTGTGCTGTGCATTCCCAGCTCTCCAGGAGTGGGTGACACCCCGTGCTGGGTATTCCCAGCTCTCCAGGAGTGGGTGACACCCTGTGCTGTGCATTCCCAGCTCTCCAGGAGTGGGTGACACCCTGTGCTGTGCATTGCCAGCTCTCCAGGAGTGGGTGACACCCAGTGCTGTGCATTGCCAGCTCCCCAGGAAGCTGTGGCGGTTTATGGGGAAGCCCCTTCAGTTGGGTCATGGGGTGCAGAACGGATGCCCCGGTTTTCCAGAAGCTGAGAGCCTGGAGCAGCTGGATCCAACTCCAGGCCCAGACAGGATCAGGCATTTTGTCTGAGCAACCCCCAGTTCTGCCCCAGGGACCAGCTGGCAGCTCCCCAGGAATGGGTGACACCCTGCGCTGTGCATTGCCAGCTCTCCAGGAGTGGGTGACACCCCGTGCTGGGCATTCCCAGCTCCCCAGGAGTGGGTGACAACCTGTGCTGTGCATTCCCAGCTCTCCAGGAGTGGGTGACACCCCGTGCTGTGCATTCCCAGCTCTCCAGGAGTGGGTGACACCCCGTGCTGGGTATTCCCAGCTCTCCAGGAGTGGGTGACACCCTGTGCTGTGCATTGCCAGCTCTCCAGGAGTGGGTGACACCCTGTGCTGTGCATTGCCAGCTCTCCAGGAGTGGGTGACACCCAGTGCTGTGCATTGCCAGCTCCCCAGGAAGCTGTGGCGGTTTATGGGGAAGCCCCTTCAGTTGGGTCATGGGGTGCAGAACGGATGCCCCGGTTTTCCAGAAGCTGAGAGCCTGGAGCAGCTGGATCCAACTCCAGGCCCAGACAGGATCAGGCATTTTGTCTGCATCATGCATCTGGGCTGGCCGGAATGTCCTGGGTTTAACTGGAGACCTGCAAGAAGCAGAAAACATCACAGCTTTATGGCCAGGCTCAGCAGAGGTGCCACTTCCCTCCTGCACACTCCCACCTGCAGCTGCACCAGCCCAGCTGCACACGCTCAACCTGCACAGCTCTGACAGCACACGGGGGCTCAGGGACACAATGAGACAAGAAACTGGACACAAACTGCCACACCATGGAATTCAGGCCAGGTGAGAGCCCCTCCTGGGAACAAAACCCACACCACAGCCCACATGGCAATGGGGCAGATCCCAACCGGGACCCCTCTTCATACACCACAGTCCACATGGCAATGGGGCAGATCCCAACCGGGGCCCCTCTTCATGCTGGGTCAAAGTCTGGCATGAGAACTCGATCCCACAAATAGGAAAAGCTCCACGTCCGGCCGCGCCGGGGCGGGACGAGCTGCCGCAGGGACCCGCCCTCATCCGCCTCCATCTGCCTCGGCCCCAACCACCGCCGTCGCCTTCCATCCGCCTCTATGGTCATTCATCCCCACCCCATCGTCCTCCTTCCCCCTTTATCAGCCGCACCATCTCCATTCATCCGCCTCCATCCTCATCTCAGCCGCCTCTCTCCCCATCCGCCTCCATTCCCTTGGTAACCTTCTCCACGCCAGCCGACTCCATCCCCACTGCCTCTATCCCCATCGTCCTGGTGGGAAAAATGTTGCTAATGTCTTCACAAAAAAACTCGATGTGGAAAGAATGGTGTTGGGTTCTTCCCTACTCTCACAGAAATGGTGTTAATGTCTTCTAAATGGGTCTTAATATCTGTGAACATCCATCCTGGCAAGTTTGTTACAGAACCCAGGCAGCCTGACCCAGAGAGTTTGAGCTCCTGAACTGTAGAGAAACAGGACAAATAAAAGTGTAATGCAGACAGTCTGAACTTCTGGTGGATCTGCAGAACCCAGACAGCCTGAGCTTCTGAACTTCAGGGGGAAATGGTGACACTTGTTCAAGGAGGGATATGTAGTAAGCAGTTTGGGAAGGCTGTACCTTCCTGGTACCTCAGCCAAAGGAAAAGGGCAACATGCAATCTGGAGTTTAGAATAAAAACCGGAGCCGAGAGAGACAGCCCCCTACCCCACGGGTGGACTCTCCCCCTTTGTTTGAATAAAGTTGCAGGACTTCTATGTATCCTTTGACTTTTCCTAGTGTGGCTTCTCTGCACAGTCCCCATCCATTTCCATCCCCATTCCATCCTCTCCTGTCCATTCCCAGCCCACCCCATTCCCCACAAAAGCCCGTCCCGCGCTGGGACCAGCACATGGCAGTGGATCCCACCAGAGCGCGTGAGGAGCGTGGGATCAGCCGCTCCTGATCAACACCAACAGCGTTTACTGGGCCCAGGCAGTGACTCCAGAACAGCCTTTTCCCAGGGAAATCCTCTGCACCACGAGTCTCGTTCCTGGCCCGTACCAGGCTGTCAGGGCAAGGCCCAGCTCAGCCCACACTGCAATCCCAAACCCAGCTCCTTTCCTGCACACTTTTCCACAGGATCAGTTAGTTCACATTCCCATTGCCCCATCCTTCTCCTTTCCTCCCAGGACACACGTAGCCCCTCTCACACACCATCATTGCCACTCACCCATCACAAGGAATTCTGGTTCAAGGCACGAAAAACATGGATTCACTTTAGTTTTTCTTTAGTTGATAGGCTCCAAACCTACAGTGATTCCTACGGATCTTGGGAATGGGGCCCTGGAGCCTAAGTGGCAGAGCCAGCTGGGCCCTTCTACAGGAGGAAATGTCAGGTTTTTTAGGTTCCCTGAGGTTGATCTGGTTGCCATCATCCAAGCCCCAGGAATAAAAAAAGGGAGCAGATCATTGTCATTAGAAACATGGAAACATCCCAAATCTTACTCCTGGGACGTGCTGGATTTTTGCTTTCACTGGCAAAAATAAATTTTAAAAAATGAGAATTTGGCTCACTCTTTGCTCATCCAGGTTTGCTTGGGGATGGGTTTTGTCTCCTTTGCTGCTGAAAGCCAAAGGGAGATTTGGAAAGAGCGATGTGATCCCTGTGGGATTTAGGGATGTTTGGGATGGTCAATCAGTGGGATGGGCCAGGGGATGGATGGGGTCCCAGAACCTGTGCTGGATCAGGCACAAGAACAGGAGTTTGATGGAAAAGGGGTTTTCCCATGTTTTTCTAATGGAGAAATGCAGCACAATCCCTTTCCCTGGAATACCCAGCCTGGAGCTGGCGCATCCCTCAGGCCTTGTATCTGCCCAGGTGCTCTCGGGCAATGATCACCCGCTGGATCTGTGCCGTGCCCTCGTAGATCTGCAGGAAAAACCAGAGACAGGTGAGCCAGCAGCTGGGAAAGGTGTTTGACCAGAGTCTGCACACCTGTGACCCCTCCCTGTGCCTGCAAGGGGCAGGAAGAGGGACAACTTGGAAAAATGAGCGTGACAATGACCCGTAGTAGGCAATAACCCACACAGGGGAGCGTGTGTTCAGTGCAGCAGGGATTCAGAGATTCCCCAGGTATCCAAACACCTGTGTGTGCCCAGCACAGGAGAGATCCAGGGATCCCCCAGGCAGAGCCCAGGGCAGCTCCAGGACAGCAGAATTTGGGGATTTCAGTGTTTCACCTCCCAATCCTGCCTGAAGTTGCTTTGGCAAATCACTCCAATACCTGCAAAGCCAGTTTCTCTGCAGTCACAAAATCAGGATAATATTCTCCAAACTGCACGAAGTTTCTCCAAGTAAAGCTGCTGGAATTATAAGGTCCAACCCCTTTCCCAAGTTCTTGCAGGGATGCAGTGGAACAGGAAAAACGCCCAAAAATTTCACACAAAATCAGAGTAATTTGAACAATTTCAAAACCTCAGCATGCCTGGCCATGCATTGACGATGGAGCTGTGTGATAGAGGATCTTGGTGGAAAAAAAACCCCTAAAACGGGAAAAGAGCCCAATTCTGACAAAGTCTCATAGCTTGTTCTTGTTTAGTTCCTCTCTGAGGACTGAAATCAGGACTGAATCAGGACTGAGAGCTTTTCAATTCCAAACATCTGCTTTCTGTCCTTGGAGAGGAAAAAATTCCTGACTGGTGAGAACAGTTGGAATTTTAAAGTCAGCTGTAAAAGGAATGTCAACCACCTGAAATCTCAGCTGCTGTGGTCACTTGTTGACAGGTCAGGGCCCATGTGTGTTCCCTGAGACCTGTTTGGATCAGTTCCAGGCAGTCATGGTTAATGTTGGAAAGAGGGAAAAGGTGAAGGTCACTGGGTTTTCTAAGGAAATTAATTCATTCCTGCTGAATAACTAACTTGAACCAGCAGAGGAATTCTGGCATGGGATAATTTCTTGGCAATAACACTGCAGAAAAAGCCCTGGGGATTAGGGGTGTCTGTGGGCTGAAAACGAGGAAATATGACCATGTTTTGTTCTTTTGGAAAAGAAACCAATAAATAAATATCTGAAGAAGTGAATCACCATGGGCTGTGCCCCGTGGCTGTTTCTGCAGCACACAAAGGGTAACTAATGCTAATTAATTAGCCCATGGGCCTCAATGCTGGTGACATCTCAGCCAAAGCACCTGCCCAGTGAGTGGTAAGTTGAGAACTTCCCTGATTTAACGACTTTCAGTCTCCAAATCTTTTTAGCCTTTTTAGTCTATCCCGATTGCAATTAATCAACAATTAATTACTTTGTATTGAGTGCCCGCTTTGCCATGAAGACCCCTGGCTCTGTCCCACTCACCTGATAGATTTTGGCATCCCTCATGAGCTTCTCCACGGGATACTCTGTGTTGAAGCCATTGCCCCCAAAGATCTGCACAGCGTCAGTGGCCACCTGGTTGGCGACGTCCCCGGCGAAGGCCTTGGCGATGGAGGCGTAGAAGGTGTTGCGGCGGCCGGCATCCACCTCCCAGGCCGCTCGCTGGTACCCCATCCGGGCCAGCTCCACCTTCATGGCCATCTCCGCCAGCAGGAATGCCACAGCCTGGTGCTGGGAGAGTGGAGACCACCGGGTGAGCCTCAGAGGGCTGTGACACCACAGGGGAAGGAGCCTTCTGCTTAGGATTGTGATAAATGAATACGATTCGTGCTAACGATTGTAACTACATCGATGTTTTAGAAAATACTTGTTAAAAAGTAATAGATGAAAAAGATATGTAGTTAGTGTCACAAAACAGATGTTTTCAGATGTTCGTGAGAAAATAGGAGACAGGATGTAGCTTGAGATAAGCAAAATCCCAAAATGGAATAGGCCTCGGGATAATTAAAGAATCAGCCTTGAAATGGACAAAATTGGGATGATTCCAGGTGTCTTGGAAATAATAAAGCTTATTTTTGGAATGTAATGCTGGCTTCTATAACACAAGACTTGGGGCGCATGTGCAACCTTGTTGCACGTGTTGTTCAAAGGACAGTGAAGATGATGAGAAGCCTTCATCGGGTGCGAGCACCAAAAGCCAAAGAAAACCCCTTAGAAACAAACGGAGCATGCACTGTGCAGTATGGTGATGTAGATTTCAAGAATCGAAAATAGGAAGAGATTTATGGGAAAATATTGATGAATATGTATTAGCACACAGTATATAAGTTGTATTTGGACTCTTTTGCCTTTGTGAGGCAGGGTGAAAAGCTCTCCCCGTACCCCAATCAATCGGTTTTACTTATGCTTTATCCAAACCACTGCCAATTTTTTTGTATCTGCTCGATTATATTATTTTATATAAAGTTGCTGCTCAATTAAAATTGCTGCTAAATTCAACTTTGTTGTTTGTTGAATTAGACATATAGAATTTCATTCATAACAGGATCATGCAATCACTGGGGTTGGACAAGACCATTAAGATCACCAAGGCCAAGTCTCACCCTGGCACCATCAGGGTCATGACTAAAATGTGTCCCCAAGTGCCACAAGGACAGGGACTCCACCAGAGCCAGGCCTTTCTGGGAATAAATCTTCCCTAATATATCATTTTATCTTCATTTCTTAATTTGCAAAGTCAGTGCCTTGGGAAGCTGTGTTCAAGGAGTTCAATGGAATTGGGATCTATGTTAGATCAGACGTTCCCACGTGTAACTCCGTAGAAGAGGTTTTACAGCAAATTCTATGAGGCAGAAAGAAGTTTGATAAGAGGATCCATGTTTACCCCTGAAAGAATTTTCTACCAAGGTCAGTGACATAGAAACCAAGAAAGAAAGAAAGATAAATAAAAGAAACCTGCAACTGTCTATTCCAATAAGCACTTTTTTTGTCTTTCCTGACCAATGAGTAAAGTGTAAACTTAGGAGTTTTGTAAGAATGTATAAAAAGCATGCATGCTATAACAAAAACAGGTTTGAAGCCTTCTGAAAATTGAGTGTGCTTGCTTTGTACTGTGACCATCTCAACTACGACACAAACGCACCTCCACGATGGGTTTCCCGAAGGTTTTCCTCTCCAGCGCGTACCTCGTGGCCTCGTCGAGCGCTCGCCTGGCCAGCCCCACAGCCCCCGCTGCCACCTGGGTGGGCACAGTGCGGGATGAGCAGCAGAAATTCCTGTTTGCTTTGGGAACAGCCCATTCCTGGTACTCACCGGGGGCCTGGTCTTGTCAAAGGCGCCCATGGCGATCTTGAAGCCAGCGCCCTCCGCGATCAGCACGTTCTCCTTGGGGACTCGCACGTCCTCGAAGACGATCCCGCGCGTGTCCGAGCAGCGCTGGCCCATGTTCAGCTCCTGGAAGAGGGAGGTGCCATGGAATCAGATTCTTCCCAGGTACAACCAATTCCATCCTTTAGTTCGCTTAAAGAATAAAGGAAGCTTTTTTACCTTAAAAAACCACTTCTGTTTTAGCTAAAATGCACCAGAGAAACAAGAAATAACAGTTTGGGCTCCCCAGCCCAGTAAGTCCCTGACCTGTCACACCTGAGCAAGTCACTGCCTCCATGTGGGAGATCAATTCTGAGGCTGGAATCCCTCCTTTCACCCTTTCTGGTTCAATTTATCCTCTGGAGGATTCAATTCTACATATAATTCAATTCTGTCCTCTCAAGTGGGAGAGAAAACAGTCAAGAAACCACTTCCCACAGCTGCGAGACGCAGCTGTGCTGCCAAAAGACAAATTCATAAATAAATCAGGTTTTCAGGTTCCAAATATATGCAAAGAGAGAGAAAACCAGGGCCTCCATGGTGCCTTACTTGGGCAGGAACAGCTGAAATTGCAGCAAACCGGGTGATTTTTGGGAAAGTTCTGCCAACACCTTCACTCCCCCTGGACATCCTTGGCAATTCCATGTTCTCAAAGGTTCTTTTGCAGCCAGGCAAAATTATCTGCTTTAGGTCCTTCTGAGTAATTCTTTATCTGAATTCATACAATTATAATTCTAATGTCATTATATCTAATTATATATATTACATATAATTATATAATTATATGTAACATAATATGCATATATAACTTCATAAATATATATATGTAAACATAATTATTAAATGTGTCTTATGAACAGTTTCTGGGCACTGTGAGAATTCCAATATACCTGCCCATGAGCCCTGACAAGGTTCAGCCATTTTCCTTTCATGGCAATTCATGGTGCTATTGGTTCAGGAAAGAGCAAGAATTCCTGATGATTACCTTCCTGCCAACCTGGATCCCAGGGCTGTTGGCCTCCAAAATGAAGCCTGTGAAGGCTTTGCTGGCTGGGGCCCGGGGGTCAGGATCAGTGCGGGCCAGCAGGAAGTACCTGGGAGGACAGAGATGGGGGTTCAGCTCATCCCCAACATCAGACACTTCATGGCAAAAATGCTGAGTGGTTTTGTCCGTACAAGAAATCAAGTGGTAAGGTAGCAACCCTTTTTAATCAGCCCTTCAAAAAAGAGAAAACAAATGAGGGGGAAGCAGCACAAGAATGTCAGTGCTGTCTGGACATCTCTTCCTGCAATATCAAGGTTTAATGAAATTCCCTCAGGTAAACCTGCAAAGCTTCTCCACCTTTTCCATGTGTTGTCTCAATATACCACCCAGCCTCCCAAATAGCCCAATTCCCAGCACATCTCTAAGGATTATTGTACAGGGAATGCAGCATTGTGTGCAAGGCCTTTTCCTCTCAATTGAAAATTGAGAGGAAAATTTTATTCTTCCCAGTATCACTTGTAAATGAAGTTTTTGTGTCAGTAATTGCTGTAAATCCCATTTAGGGGGGTCAGGAATGTGCTGGGAGAGTCTCTGTGATGGTTCTGCCTCGGGCAAGAAGTTAAACAGTGAGAAATCCCAACTTTCATAGATAAATGTATGAAGTTTTTCCTCTTGAACTGAGAAGTGTTTGAGTGTTGGGGTGGGGTGAGTGTAAGCCCCGAGGAAGGGTCTGTGCTGCCCTCCCCAGACCCTGCAGCACCGCTTGGGCTCTGGGACTCCTTGAAAATGTATTACTTTAAGATAATTAAATCCCAGAGTTTTTCTGTTTTCTCTGTGAGTGGGAGGCGTTCCCAGCTGAGTCAGAAGCAGCTGATCCCTGTCTGGGAGCCAGGTCAGGGCTCGGTAACCTGAGCACTTTGGAGTTGACTCTTGAGTCTGTTCCAAAGGGAAAGCTGCATCTGGTTTCAGCCCAAAGGAGCGGCATTCTGCCCGGAGCTGTGGCATCATCGAGCTCTGCTGTCATTGGCCTGTTCCCTCTTTGGGCACCCACAGCACTGGGGCTGCTGGTGCCTCCTCCCGCTGAACTGGTGACACACTGGAACACCGTTAAAGAAACCCCAGTACAGACCAGTCTGCCCACAAAAGGAACGCACCAGTTGGCCTTCCCTCCGTTGGTGATCCACATCTTCTGCCCATTGATGACGTACTCATCCCCTTTCCGCTCCGCCCGGGTTTTGATCCCGGCCACGTCCGAGCCCGCGCCCGGCTCTGTCACACAGTAAGCCTGGAAGAAAAACCCCCAGATCCCAAAGGATATACGTTTTGGGTTTGGGAAACCACAAAATCATTGTGGAATGTGGGCAATGACCGGCTCCGGTCACACAAATGTGAGAGGCTCATCTGTCCTTAATTAATTACTGAAGTAATGGGATTTCCTGATCAAACACACATCAGGGCTTCCTCTGTCATTAATTAATTAATAGGATTCCCTGGTCACACTCACACACATCAGGGGCTCCTCTGTCATCCTGCCCAAGTATTTTTTCTTCTGCTGCTCATTCCCAGCGATGATCACAGGCATTTGCTGGAAGAGGATGTTCAGAGCATTAACCCACCACCTCAAGGGCTCAGAGCCCAGTTTGGAGGACCCAGAGCCCAGTTTGAGGGCCCCACCCCCAGTTCCAGATGGGTGCAGGACTCACCCCCAGGGAATTGGCCTCAATGGCTGTCTGCACCCCAGTGCATCCGTATGCCAGCTCCTCTGTGATCAGACATGCCTCGAAGGTGCCCAGCCCCAGCCCACCTGTGGGGGGACAGGAGGGGACTCAGGGGGGTCTCAAGTACAGAATATTAATGATTTGCAAGCATTTATTATCCCAAACATCTCCCATGCGCACCAAGGTCCATCAGATGATATCCCTTGGGAACGCCTTGCAAAACAGCATGCTGCCAGATTGATATTTTTGTTATTTTGTTTCTTTGCATTGAGATCAGATGATTTAAAAATCCCATTTCACCATTTTCAGGGGGGTTAATTTTGTGCTCAAGGTGGGACAAGTGGCATAAAATGGCCAGAAGGTGCCACCAGGATCTGTCACTGCTTTACATCTGAGCATTCCCTGGGGAGCTCTTGGGAAGTGGAAAAGGGCTACATGGGCTCTGATGTCTCTCAAAACTATTAATTATATCCCTCAAATCCCTTTTTCCAGAGGCAGGGATTAATGCAGCAGACACCATTTTACCCAATAAATTTGAATCACTTCTTCCTTTTCCTGTCTCTTTTCCCCTTTTGAATTTCATTTGAACACTTGGTTCCATGACCTTCTCCCATAACTCTTCACACCAGCCACAACTTTTCCACACCCACTATCAAAACCTCCTTTTCCAGGCTATATATTAAATCCCTCCATCCAGAGGAAGGATCAAAGCAAACCCTGTATTCCTGACATGGGGATCATAACAACTGGGATCATGGGAGAAAATCTGGCCATAAGTTACCACACCAGAACCTAATTCCTCGCCTGATCCCATCCAGCCTGGTCACAGCCACGTGTGCCAACCTGCCCACAGATTGCTTTGGGATTACTCCTGTGTGCAACAGGTCATTTTAAATGTAAGCCACAATTTCACACCACAATCTCCTCCAAGGTCTTTTCTTTGGTTTATTTTAGGGATTAAAAGGGATCACACTCACCACAGCTCTCTGGGATGTGTGTATTCATCAGCCCAAGCTCCCAGGCCCGTTTAATCAGTGGCACAGGATACTGAAATGATAAATCACAGTTGATTATCACAGGTAAAATTTCAAATTCTGGGTTTAGAGAAAAATCTGGTTTTTTTCTCCTGTGAGATGGATTTACCTCCCCAGTCCTGTCATATTCTGCTGCAACAGGAATTATCTCCTCCAGAGCAAATTTCCGGGCAGTAGCTTGGAATTCCTTCTGCTCATCTGTCAATTCTGTTGAAAAATAAGGCAACACAGTAATAAAGAAACTCAATTTCCTCCTTCCCTCTGAACCCCCCTGAGCTCTGAGCAATGCCCATGACAGCATTAATTAAAAAATTATTCAAAAACTACTGGAAATGGAGCAGGAAGTGCCAGGTGATAAAATGTTTTTACCAAAAACATCTGTCAAGCATCTGCTGCTGCCCCAGAGGATTTGCTGTAATAGCTCAGGTGTGGAGAAATTTCTGTTGCATCCCTAGACCCACTATGTTCCCCTGGTGCTGCTCACAGTTATTCTAATGGTTTAAAAGCCAACAGGGCATCATTGCTCAATGCTGTGGCCATTTGTGCAATAAAAAAAGCTCAAGACAGTTACAAAAAAGAAGAAAGTCTCTGAAATATCACCCGCTGCCCTGGTTGTCCTGAGCTGGAGAAAAAAAAGGGCTTTTGGTTTTCAAATAGTTTTAATAAAAGGAATAGAAATCTACTCCAAATAAACACCTGTCTTGGAAATTCCTCCTGAACTGCAGTACTGTCACTTGGGGTCTTTGGTTGGTTGTTTTGTTGGGGTTTGTGGTGGGGGTTTTTTGGTCTGTTTATTTTGGTTCTTTCTTTGCTTTTTCCCCCCTGCACTGCCATCTGTCCCCCCCTGTTCTCTCCCTTCCCAGCCCTGCCACACTCACCAAAGCTGAAGCCGTTCCCAGGTTTGCTCAGCTGCACGTTTTGGGCAGGTTTGCTGGAGCGCGACCTCCAGCCGGGCCAAGCCAGGGTCTGGAGCAGCTGCAGCAGGAAAGGACAACGGGAATGAGGGAACAGTCCAGACCAGAACGAGGGCCCTGTCCTAAAGGTGCCAGTGCAGCCTCACAGCACGGCAAGGGACACAGGCTGTGACAGGTGGCACACAGGGAAAAAAAGGTATTGTCAGAGAACACTGAAAATATCTGTAAAGCCAAAAAGTGAACTTCGGGGAGAGCTGGGATCGAACATGGAATGCCGAGCTACTGAGTCAGCGTGTGTGCACAGCCTGGGGGTGTCCACAAGGTAAAGTTTTATCTGTGGGGTTTTCCCAAGATGCAAGTGTTGCAAAACCATCCTTTCTCACCCGTGTTTTCCCCTTTTTGCCACAGTTTTTTTCCCAAACTGTTCCACAGGTGTGTAAGGAAAACAATACCACACCAGGAAACAACCCTCCCAAGTGTTTTAGACATTGTTTGAAGTATAACTGACAAAAAGATGAGGGAGAAAAAAAGACAGGGTATTGTAATCATGGGGGTTTTGTTTGGCTTTGGTTTGGGTTTGGTTTTGCTGGTTTTCTTTTCTTAAGGATGATCCAGTCCTACACAGCATCTCCACCAAAAAGTTTACGAAAAACTAGGAAAAGCCCAGAATTCTCAACAAGGCTAAAGGTGACACACCCCCCCAAAGGAGCCACCAAGTTTGTGTTTGATATATTCAGTCTCGTGATTCTCCTTCCCCCAGGGCTGGGCGAGGTCAAGAGCACCACTGAGATGACTCTGGGCACATCAACACCCCTGCACAGCTGAAGGTGAGGGCTGGGCAGGGGGATCTCCCCAGGGGAAACACAGCGTGGCAAGAGACCAAAGTCCATTCGCAGGGATGAGGCACTGGAGCAGTGAGGGTGCCCCACGCTGGGAATATTCCCAGTCAGGTGGGATAGGACTCGGAGCAAGCTGGTCCAGCTCCTCCAAGTGGTCAGTGGGGTGGGACTGGTGGTCTCTTAGGTCCCTTCCCACCCAAACCAGTCTGGGACTCTGACTCTGTATAAGTGTTTGGGCAAGCACTTGCTCACTCCATCAGCCTCGCTGTCCACTCCACGCTCAGACGCAGCTCCTCGTGCCTTCCACCTGCTCTGACCCCACTGAACCTCAAATCCCGGTGCCAGGAATATTGTCCATTAGATCCCGTGCCCTCGGGCACAGTTGCCCCCTCCGCTCCCGCTGTCACTTGAGGCAGGCGGCCACGTCCCAGCGGGAGACACTGGAGGGCATTGGAGGAACACTGGATGGACGCGGCAGAGCCAGCGCCCTTCACCTTTCCCCTAATTCAGGAATGACGAGGAGAACTGGAAGTGCCGACGCAGTTCCCGGGGAGGGCGACCGATGGATCCCGATAAAAGCAATGTTCCCAATTTCCAACGCGACGGGCACCGACCCCCGGGGGAGCAGCGGGCAGCGATCCCCGGGGGAGGAACGGAGCGGCGCAGGACGGGCAGCGCGCACCGACCCCCATTCGGGACCCCCGGCGCCGCCCCGGCCCCAGCACGACCCCGGCCGCGTCCCTCCTCCCCGTCCCTCCGCCGTGTCCCCCGTGTCCCCCGTGTCCCGCTCACCCGGCGGGCGCTGAGCGCGGACATCGCGGCGGCGGCTCGGGCGGCGGGGCGCGGGGCGGAGCGGAGCGCGGCGGTCGCACCGCCCCGCGCCCCCCGGAACAGCGCGGAGACCGCCCCGGACAAGGCGGTGCCGCCGAACAGAGCGGTCCGAGGTGTCCTCCGTGCCCCTTACCCTGCCCTGACCTGTTTTGTCGGGATTACAGGGAGTCGGCTGCTTTGATTTGCCTGGGAATAACTTTTTGCCGTGTGAAATTACCTCGCGATGCGTCCGGGTCTCGCTCGCGGGTTTCTCACTGAGAGTTTGGGTTAATGCGGCAGAAACGGGTCCCTGACTTGGCCAGATACTTTTTGGGATAAACCAGCAGGTTAAGAAAAACTGTTCGTGGTCTCACACAGACTTTGCTCCGGTATCGGTGGAATGGCGCGTCCAGAGACGGGAACAGAGCCGGGGCAGGGGCTGGCGCAGCAGGAGTGGCTGGGGAAGCGGGGCGGGGGGCTCAGCCTGGAGAAAAGGAGACCTGGGGGGACCTTCTGGCTCTGCACACTCCCTGACAGGAGGGGGCAGCCAGGAAGTGGTCGGGCTCTGCTCCCACAGAACAAGGGACAGAACAAGGGGAAACGTACTCAAGCTTCATCAGGGGAGTTTTAGGTTGGACATCAGGAAGAATTCCTTCATTCAAAGGGTTGTCAGGCCTTGGAAGAGGATGCCCAGGGAGGTGGTGGAGTCCCCATCCATGGAGATGTCCAAGGAATGACTGGACATGGCACTCAGTGCTCTGGCTGAGTGACGAAGTAGCGTTTGGTCAAAGGTTGGACTCGCTGATCTTGGAGGTCTTTTCCAACACTAGGGATTTGAAGATTCTATAACTTTTTCTCCCTGTAGTTAAGTAAAAGTTAATTTGTAACTTTATGTTTTTCCAATGTTTAATTAAGATTTTTACATGTTCTTCCTGTTTTAAATCCAGTCTTAAATCCACAGGGCGTGTGAGTTTGGGGCTGTTAAACATTCCCTGTCCAGCACTGCAAGTTCTGCTCCACAGGTCACGTTCCTGACTGCAACTGGGAGTTCAACTCCTGAGCAGCCCAGCTTCTGTCCATGGATTATTTATCCCTTACTTGTACAGTTCCTGCACACCTCAGTACTCCTCAGGTGATTTATCACCACAACAGCCCCTGGATGCAGAGACATTTCTCCATCACATTTAAGAGAAAGGTTCACATGGGTTTTCCAATGAGCAGCACAGATTTCACTGGGTTTCACTAACCAGGATCACACACCCCAGAATCACAGAGCAGGTAGGGAGCTTCTGTATCCCTATGGAAAGGTAGTGGCATAGGTAATACCTGTTCTCCTGGTCACAGACAGCTGCAGCTGCTTCAGGTGCTTGAACATCTGTAGGGACAACCCCACCCAGTGTGTTCCTGCTTCAGGGAGCGATTTCAGGAAAATATGGGCAGAATTGAGATGCTTTTTCCAGGTGCCTTCTAGACCAGTATCGATAAACTTTCTGGAAGGAATGAGCTCCTGAGATTTGTGACCCAGGTAGAAGCTGGTGCAGGGGGATTTCAAGACAGTCCAGGTGCAGAAAGCATTAATGTGGCTGGAAGAGGGAATACAAGTCCCAGTATGTATAAGGGATCACACTGACAGGGTCAGTGCTGCTCCTGCTGAAGGGGACCACACTCTTGGGATGGGCGCTAATCCCATTGTGGATAAGGGATCATGGTCACAGGATAGATGCTGGTTCCAGGATCAGGGATGGGACACTTGCATGAGGTGGATGTTGATCCTGGGATAAGGGATTGTGGTGATGGGGGAGACACTGGTGTGGGATGGAGGTCCTGTGCAGGGGAGCTGTGAGTGACTGCCTTGCTGGTGGCAGGTGTGTGTCTGTCTGTCCTGTGCATGTCTATGTGTCTGCATGGCTTGGAGACACCTGCTCACCATGGCAGGTTGAAACTGCTGAGGGAGAGACTGCAGCCATACTGCGCAGGATTTACTGGCAGCTCTGGACACCCACTCTGCAGCTCCCTCACCTCCACCTGGGTGCTTGGACCCAGCTCCTGTGGGGCAGCATCATCCCCCCTGCTCACCTGTGACATAGATAAAAACTGGTGTGTAAAAGAGCTGGGACTGTGATCCCAGCACCAAAATAAAGCTACATCTGCTTTTAATATAGGAATTGGTGTTAGAAAGCTTTTCCCCATGGTTTGGTCACATCAGTGCTGAGGAACAGGGAGACCACGGCCAAGTGAGGGAGGCACCTGGAAAAGCCTTCGTGCCCACAGGGGATCCTTACCACCAGCCTGGAGAGCTGCAGGTAAGAAAAAGATGAAAACTGAACATCTAATGGAGTGCTTGGGCATGGATTCACAGCACACGGTTCCGCCCCACATACTCATGCTGGGGGTCCCGAGCAAACACCCTCCATCGCTGGAGCGGAAGGGAGGGGAGATGGGACGGGTGGGGGCCGAGGCAGATGGAGGCGGATGAGGGCGGGTCCCTGCGGCAGCTCGTCCCGCCCCGGCGCGGCCGATCTGGCCCATTGCCAGGTGGGCTGTGGCATGGTTCATGTGCCCAGGAGGAGCTCTCACGTGGCCGTAATTCTATTGTTTGAGGTGACTCAGGTGCTGGCGAGGTCCCGGGGCTTTGGATGCATAGTCAGATCCTACAGCACCTAGATGGTGTTGCTGGGGGTTTGCTCCAGTGAATTATTATTCATGACAGCCAGGTGGGAATGCCCATATAACTCCCCAGCGAAGGGATTGAGGGGGGTGGCGAGGTTGGTACCGTGTCTCGCCACAGACTCTGAATCTGTTGCATGACATTGCAGCAGATGCAGTGTTCCACTAAAGGCCTCAGGAAATGAAAATGAGTTTGAGGAGCTTTGGTGGTCTTTGATGGTTGCTCACTGCTCCTCAGCCGTCCTTCACTTTAATGTCTCTTGTGTGTGGCCTGCCTGGGTTGGGGGATTTGGAACTGAGCCGTTTTGTGTAAGGGAGGATGGGTGTTCACTGCCTCTGACCAGAAGATGTGGCACAAACTGATAACCTCTCCTCCAACCCTTTGGCTGGTGGCAGTGTGTGCAAACCTCAGGGGATTGGGTCTGTGGGCCATGGCCTTCACCATGGCAAACCCACCCTGAGCTGATTTTCAGGAAAGCTGCTGGGTTTGGATTTCTGGGGGATACTTGATTACCTCTCAGTCTTGTTTCCTTCTCTCTAGACCTGAGATAATTAAACAACACTGTGCCCTTTATGTATCTCAGGTTGCCTTAGGTGGCTGTCCTGGTTTAGGGCAAGTTTGGGAGATAACCCCAAAGGGGCTTCTCTACGAAAGCAGATTCAATTGCCCCTCCCCCCCCAACCGGTTCGGGAGAAAATATCTCCTTGGAGAAAAAGTGGAAAGAAACCTGTTTATTAAACAATAGAACCCAAACAATATTAAACAATAAAACTTCTCACTGCTCCAAAAAAAAAAAACAAACTCAGAACAGTCCCCTCCCCGGATTGCAGCTCGTCTCACTCAGTTTCTGATCAGTCTCTCTGGTGCTGGAAATGCCGCGGCCCAGGCCCGGCCAAGGGGCCTCAGGTGGAGCTGCCGGTGCTCTTCTGGGTGTTCAGTCCAGAGCAGGCTTGAACAGATCCAAGAAAAAGGAAAAATCACAGTCCAGGGAACTTCTTTGCCTCAGCTGGCTGAAACTAAGTAAAAGCAAAAAAAGGGGAAAAGAGGAGCTCTGTCCTGCTGTCTGTACATCCGCAGACAACACAGTCCAGGAGCAGGAATGTGGAGGAGTGAGTGCAGTCTGAAAACAAACTGCGCGCTTCTTCCCTCCCCTCTTCACTCTCTGGAAGAGTCTTAAAGGTGTAAAACTTATTATTCAGTATAAACAGGACAAGACGATTGGGGATAAAAGCATCATATAGTCAACCCAGGACAGTGGCTGAAGTCACAGTCCAACGTTGCCCTCAGGAGGCATCCACAGGGAGGGGTGGGCTTCAATGGTTGCAGCATCTTTACAGAGTTCAGCCATAAAGGGCAAAATATCCTTCCTAGCAAAGTTTGGGTCCTTGACCGCAATGTTTCTGTCTCTGTGAGACGGGAAGAGAGGGGGATAGGGGTGCAAGGCGTTGGAGGCAGCTGGAGCACGGAGCCCCACAGGCAGAGCCCCTGATGGTGCCGGTGGCGGGGCTGTGGAAGGGGCAGCTCCAAGGGCTGCGCTGCCGGGGCCTGGCTGCGTCCCGCGGGAGCGTCCGGCTGGGAGCGGAGGCTCCGGAGGCGGAGGGCCGGGCCCGAGGAGGAGGAGGAGGAGGAGGCAGTTGTCGGGCCCGGGATGAGCGCTGGCATGTATTATCTGAGCGGAGCTGATGTCTCTCACCGCTTTAGCTCTAGAATTACTCTGAGGCCCGGCAAGCCCCCGATCCCTCTGGCTGTGGAGCTTTTCCCACTTACGGGGTCGAGTTCTCATGCCAGTCTTCGACCCACCTTGAGGAGCGGGGTCCTGGTTGGGATCTGCCCCATTGCCAGGTGGGCTGAGCTGTGGGTCTTGTGGCCAGGGGAGACTCTCACCTGGCCAGAATTCCATGGTGTGGGAGTTTGTGTCCACGTGTATGTGGGAATGTTGTCTCATTGTGTCCCTGACCCGCCGTGTGCTGTCATAGCTGTGCAGGTTGAGCGTGTGCAGCTGGGCTGGTGCAGCTGCAGGTGGGAGTGTGCAGGAGGGAAGTGGCACCTCTGCTGAGCCTGGCCCTAAAGCTGGAATGTTTTGTGCTTCTTGCAGATGTCCGGTTGAGCCTGGGACGTTCCGGCCAGCCCAGATGTATGATCCAGCATTTTGGAGAGTCCCCATGGCTGGGGTTCGCAGTGGTGTGTGTCAGGTGAGGTTTGGGGTGACTCAGGTGCTGGTGAGGTCCCTGGGCTTTGGATGTGCAGTGAGATCTGCATCAGGAGGGAAGGTGTTGCTGGGGCTTTGCTCCAGTGAATTATTATTCATTGCAGCCAGGTGGGAATGCCCAGATATCTCCCCAGAGAAGGGCTTGAGGGCGTGGCAATTTTGACAGTGTCTCCCAACAGACTCTGGATCTGTTGCATGACATTGCATCCTATCCAGTGGTCTGGTGATGGCCTCAGGAGATGCAAATGAGTCTGAGGAGC